TGTTGCTGGTTTTCTCGTGTGTGATTGATTGTGTTGCTGGTTTTCTCGTGTGTGATTGATTGTGTTGCTGGTTTTCTCGTGTGTTATTTGATTGTGTTGCTGGTTTTCTCGTGTGTTATTTGATTGTGTTGCTGGTTTTCTCGTGTGTGATTGATTGGTTTGCTGGTTTACTTATGTATGATTGATTGATTGGTTTGCTGATTTACTTGTGTGTGATTGATTGTTTTGCTGGTTTACTCGCGTGATTTGTTGTTTTACTCGTGTGTGATTGATTATTTTTTTGCTGGTTTACTTGTGTGTGATTGATTGTGTTGCTGGTTTTCTCGTGTGTGTGATTGATTGTGTTGCTGGTTTACTCGTGTGTGATTGATTGGTTTGCTGGTTTACTTATGTATGATTGATTGATTGATTGGTTTGCTGGTTTACTTGTGTGTGATTGATTCTTTTGCTGGTTTACTCACGTGATTTGTTGTTTTACTCGTGTGTGATTGATTAAATTTTTGCTGGTTTAATTGTGTGTGATTGATTGGTTTGCTGGTTTACTTGTGTGTGATCGATTGTTTTGCTGGTTTACTCGTGTGTGATTGATTAATTGTTTTGCTGGTTTACTCGTGTGTGATTGATTAATTGTTTTGCTGGTTTACTCGTGTGTGATTGATTGGTTTGCTAGTTCACTCGTGTGTGTGTGTGTGGTGTCACAGATATTTACAGTGCTCTCCTAACATCTGTTAGCAATGCTAACAGAAGATGATCCCTGGAATAAAGAATAGCCGCTTAATAAGTGCATAATCATTTCGGGAAGCTCGTTCACATTTAGCGAATGGTTCAGCCCTGCGGTTTTCCGTAGCTGCCGTTGATCTCACCCTTGTTCCCGTTATGATTAAACCTTGCATTGAGGGAGCTGCACTTTGCGCAAACACGCACAAAAGGGCTGTGAGGAACCTGAGACTGTGGCTGCCTAGAGGGGTCGCTGAACTCCTGCCACGTTCCATCTGATGTGCCTCCCTCTGCTGCTGTCAACATCACTGCTTCCACCTGTTTACAGACAGTTTTGTACATTTTCGAAGCCCTTTAGCCCCTCCCTCTCGGGTACTCACCCGCAGGTCGTGTGGCCGTCCCGCCGCGTCATTGGCTCAATGTCGCTTTATAGCAAGATGGCGATGTTGACGTGATTGCCTCTACCTGTCCATATCCTCACACTGACCACCAGCCACCGTCCTCAAAAGCAAAATGGCCGCCGTGTGTCCGCAGCCCTCAGCTAACATCACGCACATCACGTCTTTCCAGAATGTCCCGCGACGGGTGAAAGGCTCTGGCCGCGTGTTTGGACGATGCCCCCTCTCCCTCTGGACGTGAAGCCTGCCTCGTTCGGCCTGTGACGGAGTGCTGTTTAAAGACGCTGCTTTTCTGTTTCCAGGCGTGACTGATGGGAAGCATCTGTGGAGACTCTTCTCCTGTTGATGATAGTCTGGTGCAGCATTCAGCCTCACAGCGGGGGGAGTGCCTGCGCAACGCAGAGGCTGTGTAAGGCCTCACTGCCAGTTTGGGTATCCGAGTATTAATAGGCACAGCGACTGGGGAGGCGTCTGGTCCCTGATGTCTGCGGGCTTTTCAATTACCTGCTAATTTACACCCTTGGAGTGGAGACTCGCTGTTAAAGAGTAACGTCTGCAGAGCATTTCAGAGGAAAGATCCAGCCTGGCTCACTGGCCACCTGAGGCTGGATACCAGTCTGTCCGCAGACACCCAGCAGCTGCTGTGCCGGCATGGCGGATTCCCCGGCCCCAACTTGGTGGGGGATGTGACTCCCTGTGTCCTTCCCTGTGTGTGGTTCTTCTCCAGTAACCATGGTAGCCTGTAGACTCCTGGTTTGCCCGTCTCAGTCTTTGTGCTGCTTTTAAAGACTTTATTCATGTGGAAAAACCTGACGTTAAGCACAAGAGCCACAAAAGGCTTATCCTCCTAAAGCTTTTGGTCGGATGTGTTCCTGTCCGGTTCATGCTGGAAGTTAGGAAGAAGCTCGCTCTCGTTTATCCACAGACGGAAAATGTGATTCATGCCTGAAAATCATCCCCCATGCCTGGAGATTAAGTCAAATGCAGCAGGAAGACTTTATCTGAACTTCTTCAACAGATAGCTGTGTAGGTCTCCTGTTAGTCTGGGCTTCCGGCTTGGCCTTTGATCGACTTGCAGCTGTAGCTTTGTTCCAGATTCCTGATGCATCACTCTGGAAGTTCCTCACTGTCCTTATTATTGCATACATTTATTTATGTAGCAGACACTTCTATCCAAAGCATCATACATTTTTTGAGAACAAAGGGTCAGCAGCCCCTGGAGGTTAAAGGCCTTGTTCACGGGCCCAACAGTGACATCAGTCTGCTGGCCCTGGGATTTGAACCCGTGACCCGCTGGCCCTGGGATTTGAACCCGTCACCCGCTGTCCCTGGGATTTAAACCCGCCACCCGCTGGCCCTGGGATTTGAACCTGCACAGAGCCGTGCAGCCAGGAGCAAGCTACTGTTCCGGGCCCTGCTGACAGCCCCGTAGAGGCATCTGACTTGCATGCCCCTGTGTGATCTAAAACCATCACCCTGCCGTCTCCACTTTTAGCAGCATGTATGTGCTGATTTGCCATGGCCCGCTCCGTCAATATGGCGTGGCTGAAAATGCCTGTAAGGGCTGCGGGAGTCTGCCGCCTGTCTCCATGTGCATTATCAGGGAGCTGCTTTATCCTCCCAGGCTGTGAGCTGAGCTCAGGGAGAAAAATCTCAGTGACAACATGTCAAAGTAGCTGAGTGTGAAATGACAGCTGTGTTAGATTTGGGTTAACGGCACTCTTTTGTTTTCGGATTAAACTCGCTAGACTGATTGGCTTAAGTGTGTAATTAATTTGAGTGTGCGGCTTCATGCCACGTGAAAAGTATGGTTCACTCAGAAATCCATAGTCTCTATGCCAGGGGTGGCCAGTCTTATCCGCAAAGGGCCGGTGTGTGTGCAGGTTTTTGGGGTAACCTTTAGGTCAGCTGTTCAAATCCAATCAGCCAATCAGTCCTCTAATTAGTGACCTAATTAGGGAGTTGCAGCGAAAACCTGCATACACACCAGCCCTTTGCAGATAAGATTGGCCACCCTTGGTCTATGCCCCTCAAGTAAGTAAATGTCCAAATCTAGCCCTTGAGATTCCGGGATAGGGTTTCCAGCAGTCAGATTGTCCCGGAATGCGGTATTCCCACATGGGAAGGGTGTCCGTATTAGAGTGAAATTTGCCTCACTGACCAACCCCCTGTCCCTCTCGCCTGTCTCCGCAGCCGCTGAAGCTGTCCTGCGACACGTGCAGCGTGGTCTCCAGCTCTGGGCAGATTCTGGGCCGCCTGGCGGGTGCAGAGATCGACCGTGCCTCCTGCGTGTGGCGCATGAACAGCGCACCGACGCGGGGCTTCGAGGCTGACGTGGGCCACCGCACCTCGTTGCGGGTCGTGTCCCACACCAGCGTGCCGCTGCTCGTGCAGAGACAGCACTACTTCTTCGGCCAGGCCAACGACACGGTGTATGTGGTGTGGGGGCCGCTGAGGAACATGCGGCGTGACGGCCGTGGCGTCGTCTACAACATGCTGCGGCAGGTGATGGAGAGTTACCCACAGGCACGTGTCTACGTCACCACGGAAGAGCGTATGAACCACTGCGACCGTGTCTTCAAGGAGGAGACAGGCAAAGACAGGTAGGCTCGCGTCGCTGTGAACGCTCGTTTTGCTTTCTCTATATTGTGTGAACTCGTTTCTAGTTCGGTTTTGCAGTTCCGCAGACCAAAGTCCTAATTGCAGCTCCCCACGGCAGCAGGCTAGATTCCCATGACGCTGAGCTGTCTTCATTTAGCTCAGTTTGGCTCTATTTGAGTTTAGCATTAGCGTTAGTTTAGCATTAGCGTTAGCTTAGTGTTAGCCTAGCATTTGCATTAGCCTGTATCATACATATGGATGTCAGATGTTGCTTAAAGCATGATTTTTTTGTCCCGTTCCTATGTCCTTGATGCTGGACAGCCCTCAGCAAATCCCATCCAATCTGAGCCTCCATCTCCCCATCCTACCCCAACAGATTTGACCTCCCCCCATTATAAGCCATTCTGTCAGTCGCTCTGTCAATCGCTCTGTCAGTTGCTGTCTTCGTTTCCCGTCTGTCGTCTTTTTACACATCCAGCAATTTCTTTCCCCCCAGGGTGCTGCCCCCCTTCATCCTCCGTCCTTTTAGCCCGTAGCTGTGATTACTGTTTAAACAGCTCCGTATGTCCAGATGGGCTCCCATGTCCCACTGTGCCACTATCAGCTGTCACACTGCCGCCGTTTCTGGCTGGGGAGGGGGATCCTGAATAATCAGCTATCTACGGTCTACAGGCAGGTCCCGGCTTTCCAACTTCCGATTTACAGACTTTTAACACCGAACACCATGAATCCAGTTACATTACTAACCTGTGTTAAATACAGTGATTAGTATTATTATTTTTCCATTTACCTACAAATTCAACTTAGGGGACACACTGTAAGTGACCCTGTGTAAGACTGCAGGCAGAAGGCTCTGGAAGCGGTGCCTGGCTGGTGTTTGCTGTTAGTGATGATAACCGGTCAGTACTTGAGGTGATCATCTTTTTAATGTCTGTATTGAGTGGTCATACCTCTAAACTGGAAGCACTATTAGTTATTGGCTGATCACCCTGTCTCTGCTTCCAAAATGGCCGTAACCTGTTTCACTCGTGCCCACTGGGGCATATTTTCAGGGTCTCTGAATAAGGCTCAATCCGTAGGAGGTGTTTAAGTTCGGTACCTGTGGTGTCTGTTCTGTTTGTCACAGTCACGGTGACCTTACCATGACAGATTTCCGTTTGTTTCCGAGTGTTACGAATCTCAGCCGGTTTGTGCTCAGGTGGCGCAGTGTGAGGCCTCTTTGTGTGCCCGCTTGGGCCCGGCATGGCAGATGGGGGGGGGGGTGCCACCTGTGAACACAGGAGCCGCGAGCAGGTAAACAAACCAAAGGAGATCCTGTCTTCACTTCAAGAAATCACAGGTGTGCTTGAACATGCAGCAGACTGTCATCAGCCTTGTGCTCTGCCCTGCTCTGCTCTGCTCTGCCCTGCCCTGCCCTGCCCTGCTCTGCCCTGCTCAGCTCTGCTCTGCCCTGCCCTGCTCAGCTCTGCCCTGCTCAGCCTCGCTCTGCCCTGCTCAGCTCTGCCCTGCTCTGCCCTGCTCTGCTCTGCTGGGGTAACATATATATCTGCTTATATGAATGGATCTTTGGCAGGCGGGAAATTTATCGGGATTATTTATGGGTAACAGAAGCGAGGGCAGAGTATTCCAGCCCAGAATGACTGCGATAATGAACATGAGGAGAGACATTTTAAAGTCCCTTAATTACTCAGGGGCCCAGAATACGCCTTTGAATAGTGATTTCTGCATAGGCCTTGATTAATTTATTCTTACAAAGGCCAGATTCGATTATAGGTCACATTTAATGACTCTTTAACAGAAGAAAATGTGTAATATTTATTGAGAGTTTGTCCTCATGAATTTGATAGACTATCAGGAGTATCTTCGCGGATTCTGCTGATGTTCCATTTACCCGGAGTGATTTGTTGTAAATGTAGTTCCCCACGGAGAGCCTGGTGTCCGGAGAAGGTGTGAGACAGACACGTCCTGCCTGGTCTAAAGTGTCACTGTTTTTTAATGATTGTGGTGATGATGTCAAGTCTGGTGCAAGATATGCCGTGTTTGTCTGCCCTGGGAATGTCATTGAGGAAGGATTTTGAACCTCACATATTTCAGCATACATACACACACACACACATGTTTGTATTCATACCTGTGTGAGGACCATCCACCCTTTACTAGAACCTAATGTCCGGTCCAGCAGAACCCAGGTGCAGATGACCTGTGGTACTATGGGCCTCTACTTCTGGGCCTCTGTTTCTGGGCCCCCGTAAGGACGCTGGGATTCAGCTTGCTGCCGCTGTGCAGGACAAGCGCTCAGACCCCGCACTCAAGCTGTGGGCCTCCCAGCCGTGGGTTTTGTTGGTGAAAATGCACCCGCCATGACACAGAAACACGTGCAGAGGGGACGGGCAGTAACAGTTTCAGGGAGCCTGTTTGAGGAGATTAAACGGTCGGCTGTGTTTGCACAGGATTCGGCTGTCACCATTTGCGGTGGGATCAGTTCATAATGGGGATTTGGCTGCCCTCCTTCCTGGCTGGCACAATGCCCCCCCCCGCCCCCTTGAATTTGCTGTGATTGCTGGTCCATGTGACTCTGATTCTGCCCGCAATAGCCAATGTCCACATCTGCCGCCCTTTGGAAACTCTAGTGGGGGACACGATCACGCACCCCTCTGGTTACCTCACCCCTGCAGAGGCTGGTGACTAACAGCACAGGATAATCCCCCCCAACGTCGACCTTAGAGCCTCTCCAGTCTCAACCTGCCTCTGCGTCTCTGTCTATGTCTGTCTGCCTGTTTTCTCTGTCTGTCTATGTGTGTGTCTGTTGTCTCTGTTTGTCTGTCGGTGTCTGTCTGCCTATTTTTTCTGTCTGTCTGTGTCTGTCAGCGTCTGTCGTCATCGGTCTGTGTCTGTCTGACTGTCTGTCTGTCTGCATCTGTCTGTGTCTCTGTCTGTGTGGGTCTCGATCTGTGTGTGTGTGTGTCTGTTTTATTTTTATTATTAATACAGCTTTGCATTGAAGTTCACATTTTGGGACCGACAACACCAGATGCATTTTGGGCATGTCTTGATATCGTAGCAGTGCGTCACACATACATTACTGTAGGCGTACTTTATTACAGGTTACATATGGACAGTGGGTCACACATACATTACTGTAGGCGTCCTGTATTACAGGTTACATATGGACAGTGGGTCACACATACATTACTGTAGGTGTCCTGTATCACAGGTTACATATGGACAGTGGGTCACACATACATTACTGTAGGCGTCCTGTATTACAGGTTACATATGGACAGTGGGTCACACATACATTACTGTAGGCGTCCTGTATTACAGGTTACATATGGA